TTTTTTTTTGGTAACAGTTGTCATTGTTGTTTAGCAGGCCCAGGCTGGGTTCGAACCCACTAACTCCAGTATATGTGGCCTGTGCCCTAACTGTTGAGCTACAAGTGCCAAGCCTAAATTTTTAGAGATGGTATCTTGCTGTGTTGCCCAATCTGGTCTCAAACTCCTGGGCTCAAGCAGTCATCCCACCTTGGCCTCCCAAAATGCTACAGTTACAGGCATGAGTCACTGAGCCTGGCCCTGGTATCTCTTGTCAGCATGTTCCAACCTCTCCCACTTGCTTTAGAGATGGGTTTTCTGCCTCAGTGGGCCTCTCCTCAGAGCCTGGAACCAAAGGGAGTCAGGACAGAACAAACAGGCCAGGTTCACTGAAATTTATGAGAATAATGCTTATACTCTACATAAAAAATATCTAGGCTGGCCCTATCCTACAGCATGAAGGGCAAGTCTATGTTCTTCTCACCAGTGCCCACATAGATGTAGCCATAGTTCCTGGTGCGGGGAGCATGGTAGAAGGTGAGGCCAGGCCAGAGCAGGCTGCGCAGCACCACCAAAGCATTGCCTCTCTCCATCTGGATGCTCCAGGATCCTGGGGAAGAGATAGGCAGGAGGTGAGCCCTGGGTACTGCTGAAGCCAAGAGCTCTGCCATTTGTGCAAAGGTGACTCACTGGGCAGCCAGGCCTGGGTGCTAAGGTTCCACAGGGCAAAAGAAGACAATTTAATTATTCAGGCACTTTACTCCTGATAGCTGTTTCACTGCTCGTTAAAATCATGTCCAGAGAAAGGGCAAAGGAAAAGAAGTGAAACTCAAACCAGTCAGTTTTGTTCATGTCAGCAAGTCTAGCTAAAGGTTGAGTGGCAGAAGAGGCTGAATCTACAGGCAGAAGGGAGTCAGGCTGGGCCAGGAGACTCTCCAGGTTCTCTCACCCTGAACCAGGGGTATTGCCAGTAACATTTACTTCCAGTGTGGTTTGCCCCTACTTGCCATTTTCCTCTCTCACCCCTCAGTCCCAGAAGCCTCTGCTCTGAGATGGATTACTCAACCAGGGGATTCAAATACAGGGTGTCCATAAAGTCCATGTGCAATTTAAAATAGTTGGCCTCAGAGTTCTAGAGGCCCCAGCCAAGTGGTTTAAATTGCACACGAACTTTATGGACACCCTGCATTACAGAAGTTTGGCCAATTTAGGCCTTCCCAGCTCACTGGTCATTTTTGGCCACTAGAAGACTGGGAGCCATCCTAAGGGGGAGGAGACTTGGGCTGCTGCTAATGAGCCTTTGTCTATCCTGGGTTCTGCCCTGAATTTTGCTCTCCTAGACAGGAGCAGCCCAGCCTGCGGCTGAGTTGTACAGCCATGAGGACTTGGCTGGAAGGGCCTGATCCAGCTCCAGAACCAAGGGAGGGAGCCTCTGTGTGGGAGGAAGGAGCCTGGGAAAATCGCCTCTGGATACAGATCTGGGGCTTCTATTCCCCTGCGCACTGGGGCCTCTCCTGGCCCAGCCAGAAAGGCAAACGCTTTGAAGGTTTTGGTGTTGGACCAGCTAGCCATGCGCTGAGAGCTACTCTGAAGCCTTCATCAGCTGCCAGTTCAGCCCGGCTGCTTGGCTCCTGCTGCCCCAGCTTCCCGCAGGCCACCTCCCACCATGGCCCACCCTGGTTAGTCCACACCCCGCAGCTTCACAGTTCAGTTCTCACCCACTAGGAGCTACCCTGCTGAGAAACCTGACTGCCAAGAACCTCATGGCTGCTTAGCCCTGCTCAGGGTATAGTTACCTACCCAAGTCAAAACCAGAGTTTTCTGATATGTAGGTCAGCTTCCTCTGACCTGACCCAGGAAAAAGCCATCTCAGAGCTCACCTTAGCACTGTGCAGTAGCCAGCGCTAAGTGCCACCATGTATGCATGGGGTGATTAAATGGATGCCACAGTGTAGACTTGGGTCAGTTCCCCTGGCCCACACTGCCTGCCAGACAGCATCAAGAAGTAGAGTCCCAGGCAGTGCCTGTGGCTCAGTGGGTAGGGCACCAGCCTCATATACCGAGGGTGGCAGGTTCGAACCCGGCCTCCGCCAAACTACAACAAAAATATAGCCAGGTGGAGGAGGCGCCTGTGGCTCAAAGGAGTAGGGCACAGGCCCCATATGCCAGAGGTGTTAGGTTCAAACCCAGCCCTGGCCAAAAAAACAAAAAGCTGGGTATTGTGTATAGTCCCAGCTACTCGGGAGACTGAGGCAAGAGAATTGCCTAAGCCCAAGAGTTGGAGGTTGCTGTGAGCTATGACACCACGGTACTCTACCAAGGGTGATAAAGAGTCTCTGGTGGCTTCCATAGTTGAGTGGGTAGGGCACTGGTCACATACACTGAGGCTGGTGGGTTCAAACCCAGTCCAGGCCAGCTAAAATCATCAATGACAACTATAACAACAAAAAAATAGCCAGGTATTGTGGTGGGCACCTATAGTCCCAGCTACTTGGGAGGCTGAGCAAAGAGAATCGCTTTAGCTCAAGAGTTTGAGGTTGCTGTGAGCTGTGACACCACAGCACTCTACCAAGGGCAACATATTAAGACTCTCTCAAAAAAAAAAAAGAAGTAGAGTCCCTGTGTTACCAGGGTTTTGGCTGGAGCACCATCCCCAGGAAGGGAAAGTATTTCCCTTGGCTCTTAACAGCTTTTCTCCTTGGGCACCTGAGGCTTTCTACCTCTCAGTCCTACATTCCTCAGAGTTCAAGAAGCCCTAGCCTGTTACTTTTCTGATCACACATCTCCAGAAAACAGATTGCCTGAGGGTGAAGAGAGTGGGAATCTGACAAACTTCTATTCTGCTGCTTTCAACCTTTGGCAAGATGCACAGGCCCAAGAAGGTGTTCCCTCCCTTAGTCACCTTACCAATGCCCAGAGTTTATCTGGGGCCAGCTTCCATAGAAACACAGTCTCTCCCTGCCTGGGACCCCACAGTCATACAGCCCCTCGAACTAAGAAAGACCAGGCTCTCATTCCTCTCTACCTGCCCAGGGAGGGTGTCTTGCAGCCTGCCTGGGCCAAATGGCCTGGACAAAATAGAATCCCAAATTCCCCCTTCCCAAGACCCTACTTGTCAGTCCATTATTGTCAGCACCTGAGCAAGGACTGGGTCCTAACTTGTCCCACCTAGCCTGCTTGCCTTAGGGTTTGGCCACCTCTTACCTCTAGTAGATAAGGAGCAGAGGGGTCTTGGACAATGGCTCCCATCCAGAAAGCAAGGAGGAACTGGCAAGGGTGCTAGAGAGAGATACAGCGGGAGGGCAGTGCCAAACAGGCTGAAGGGTGCTAGTGGCACGTGAGGGGCCAGCCAGCAGACAGCACTGCTTCCTCCCTTCCCTCCTTCGTGTTCCTGTCACATTCTCATCATCCCTGGCTCAGCTGATTGCTCAGGAAACAGATTGTCAATGTGCCATGAGTCACGTAGCAACTACCTGAGGAGTCAGGCACTTGGTGTGACCTTCACCCACTTTCTTACTGCAACTGATGAAAAGTTTAAGCCCAGTCACCTGCCATCACCTCCTCTAAGACTCAGGAGAAAAGTCCCAGCAGCTCTGGTGCTTCAGCTGGCTCCCAATTCTCCCCAAACTGCCCTTCCTGCCCCCAGCAGCCACTCCTCTCCAGGCCATCTGTATTTTGAGGATGTGTGGGGCAAAAGCTGGTACATCAGGAAAGGGACCTCTTGGCACTGGAAGGAGGCCCTGGGTTTCCTGAGTCCCAGGAGTCTCACCTACCTTGGCGTGTGGAAAGGTCAGGCTAGGGTGTACTTTTAACTATATTCTGCCATCCAGGAAGGCAGCAAAGCTCTTAAATTAAAACTGAGGGAGAGAGAGGACCAGGCTAAGGATCAGGGTTGTCTAGGGGCAACAGATGGCTTAAACCCTCACAGACTGGCACCAAAAGAAAATTTGGTCACATAAGAAAATGGCCCTGGGTTCCCAGCAGGGGGAATGGGGGGACCCCCATTCCCTAGCATGGCCACAAAGTAAAATCAAACCCCCTAGAGGGCTGGGGACAGCGGAGGAAGAGTGAAGCCCTCCTAGGGCCAGTTTCCTATCAAATTCCAGCAGGACCAAGCTCCCTGGCCCAGAAGGCTAAGCACTTAACAGTCAGGTTTCCAGGGGCAGGAAAAGCCACACGCATACACCCCAAAAGAAGGCCGGCACTGGGCACTATGTTCCCCACCCCTCAATGTTCCTGTCTCACTGGTCCCTCCACCCCTCCCCTTTCCTAAACGGGTAAGCGCCACAAGCTTCCCAAGGCCTTTTCCTGGCTGGCTGCTGGGCCCCTTGCTGCCCTCTGCTGCCTGAACTGAGCATTGCTGATAAGAACTCTTGTGCTGACCCC